TGCCTTTGAAACAATAAAGGTGGCAATCAGTGTAGGAAGTACAGAGTAGTGAAGGCCACATCTCAAATACTGTGTTCAGTGTTGGGCCCCTCACTACAAGACAGACACTGAGGTGCTGGAGCGTGTCCAGAGAAGGGCAATGAAGACGGTGAAGGGTCTTGAGCACAACCATTATGAGGAGCGGCTGAGGGAACTGGGGTTGTTTAGCCTGGAGAAAAGGAGGCTGAGGGGAGACCTTATTGCTGTCTACAACTACCTGAAAGGAGGTTGTAGAGAAGTGAGGGTTGACCTCCTCTCACTAGTAACAAGCGATAGAACAAGAGGAAATGGCCTCAAGTTGTGCCAGGGTAGGTTTAGGATGGATATTAGGAAAAGTTTCTTCACCGAAAGGGTTGTCAAGCATTGGAACAGGCTGCCCAGGGAAGTGGGGGAGTCACCATCCCTGGAGGTACTTAAAAGATGTGTGGATGTGGCACTTAGGGACATGGTTTAGTGGTGGACTTGGCAGTGCTAGGGTCACAGTTGGACTCAATGATCTTAAGGATCTTTTCCAACCTAAACATTTCCATGATTTTGTGATAAAATACTCATGTCAGACCAAATGTTGCCACTGTAGACAATTTTGTATAGTCAGCAATCTAGTAATCATTCATGTCCTTAACACACACACAGTTTAAAAAAATTAATTCACAAAACTAGAGGGAATAACTAAATGAACTATAATAATTTTATTTGCCCTTTAAAAAGTTTCATAAACAATTAGATTTGCAAAATAAGTAGGTATGTAAATGCAAAGCAGCATCTGTAGATTTTTTAATTTCTCATACTACAATTTTTTAAATAAAAACATGTTTTAAGATATTGCAAAAAAACTCTTCAATGTGACCAAATAAAAACAAACAGAATGGATGGTTAATTTTTTTTGAGTAATCTGAGAAGAGTAAATCACAAGCAATGAAAAATGAACTGTGAGAAGTTAGTTTACAGAAATTCACATTTTTACTTTTAAGAATACCACAGCAAATGGTATACACTCCTCGGAAAAACAGTGATGTTCTAGATGACAGCAAATAAACAGTAAGCAGACTAGTTCTTGAGCACTGAGAGCTACACACAAAGGTTCTGAAAAATCACCTTGGAGTCAGGAGTCTAACAAATACTAGTATCTAACACCTATTAGCAGTCCAGTTGCTCAGTGTTGCTATCACAAATACTTATCACTCCTAACTTCAATGTATTTTTAAACTTAGAATAAAATGTCACACTACTTTTTAGATAAGCTGCCACTAACTCCTTGTGGTTGTGGGGAGGATGAGGAGATATGGCATAGTTTGTTTTTTTTTTAAGAAGGTCATGCAGGGACAAAAATCCAAACATGAATTATCCCTTTTTTTCATCATACAAACAGCTTTGGGACAAAGTTTTTTGTTTTGTTTTGTTTTGTTTTGTTTTAATTCCACATAATGGCAGGGTTAAAATGTATCATTACAGATTCGGTCCATCTTTGGCATTTATTAATTTATTAAAAGTTTAAATGACATGTTGATTGCAATAGCAGCTTTGGTGACCTGGACACCTATCTAGGAACTTAACTGAGACTACGAATTCATTCTGCACAGTTCATTTAGAATGTTATCAGCTGTTCCCCTTTTTCCCTGCTTATGATTGATAACACTAAGATGTTATCAGTTTCTGAATATGTCAAGTAATAGAGCCACCTTACTGTAAATATACTTTTAGAACAGAAATCTAAAACGTATTCTATGGTATTAGTTTCCTGAACACACACACACACACACACACAAAGCAATTATTATTACCTCTGCATACTGATCTTTCTATTTTTTTTAAAGAAACATCATTCAATTTGTACTTCTATTCAAATAATAAAAAAAAGCATACTTTTGAAATCTCCATCCCCAAATGTCAATGGATAGGCTCCTGGCTTTTCAATCTTGTACATTTCCTCTATAAAAAGGATTTTACAATCATTTATTGTGTCTTCTGGGCCTCTGAAAAACAAGAAGAATAAAAAGTACATTCAACTTAGTTCCTCAGACCTAGATTCTGTACTTTGTGAATGCTAAGCAATGAGATAAAGCTAACTAGCACCTTTTTTTCATCACTGATAGGATACTTTATTTCAATTCACACACAAAATTGTCTACTGCAACTTCTAAGAAAACCAAAATGCACACTAAACACTCGCGTAAAGAAAAGACTACTCCATTACCCTCAGAATACGTGGCAGCTGAGTATGTCCTTACTGACAGCCATTCATAACTTCATAATTCTAAACCCTCAGGGTTTTTTTTGGCTGAACACAGCAGACCAGACAAAATCATATCCTCTTGAAACCAGCATATAAAACATCATTATAAAAGCACAGTGTCAGAAATTAATCAGAAACATGACTTGTAAGACACAATACTAGATGGTACTTGGAACCAACAGGTAAGTAAAGCAATAGAAAGCTTCAAAAGCCCTTCTATGACTTCCAAATGTTTTGGAAACCTAAAACCCAAACCTGCAAAAACACATACAATACTGAATTATGTACTGTGAGTAGTCCTGTTGATGTCAAGGTTTCAGTGCAAAATCAGTTCACCATATCTCAGTGATGGGTAAACAAATACTCCATGACTCCAAAACACTAATGTTGAAAGACTTACAGATGAGGATTAGGAAGTATTAAATACAGAGTAAAGGCTTTCACCTCCTCTTATTATAATTTCTTTGTATTTACTAGAATTCTAATTCAAATGTAAACATATCTAGGAAGAAAAGGCCATAAAAGCACCAACAGTTTTAAAATACACCTTTTTCTTCCCTCCTCAGGATGATGTTGTGCCTTCTTTAACTGCCTGTTCTCCTAACATTTTCAATATCCTACCTAGTCTAGAAATAAGTGGGCATTTTCAGTATAACCTGTATCGGAAGTAGTAATTACTGAACATAGTCCCACTGATTTCATTGAATCACGTGTTGTTACTGATTTCAGAATTGAGCTGTTTGACATGACAGAAAGGAATTTACTACCTAGACAGCTTTATTTCTTGCAGGGTGAGACCCAGCCATTAAAAAAAAAACAAATCTGGGGGACAATTGGGTTCACTGAACTTTTCTCTTCAAAAGTTAATCTAATTCTGTTGCACTGCTGCAGTCCCTGTTTTGGTTCTAGAAAAACACTTCAAAATCTGAAACTACACAAGCAACTAAATGAATACAGATCACAAATATCATAGCTTGAATTATTAAGATTATAAAGTTTAACATTTACCAAGACTGTGATGTTTGTAGTTAAAATGTCCAGTGAGCATCCTGCAACACAAGAAATAAAATAGATATTTTTTTTTCTTTCCTATATAGACATTAGATGTGCTGGACGTAATAGGAAAGTAGTAGCACACAGTCAGTCTAATTCCAAGTTAGGAAAG